TCTTAATATGATTCAATTCATTATTCAATATGAGAAATTGAAAAGGTGATGCAATTGATTATTCATAATTCCTTTCAATTATCTTCTCAATTTTGAAGCCTATAAATAGGCTTGATTGTTCATTAGTTGGTGTACAAGTTTCTTAGAGAGAATAAGAAAAACTTTAAAGTTCTTATCATTTATATTCACATTATAGTGATTTCATTTTCTTATCATCCTTTTATTTAATTCTCCTATTTTTTCTATTTATTTTATAACATTAGATAAATTTTGTTATTTGTTAGTTTATTAATTGTTTGAATGTTGTTAATTATCTTGTTATGTTAATTTTTTGTCATGTTAAGTTGTATGTAGTAGTTTAAATTTGTTAGTTGTTATTTTATTTTTATAAGCTGTTAGATTAATTTTGTTAAGTTTTATTTTTTTGTTATGTTAATTGTTAGGTTAATTTGTATGTTAACTTAAACCTTAAAAATTTAAATTTTTTTTATTTTTAGTTGTTAGATTAAAATTTAATTATTTAATCTTAAATTGTTATTTTAATTAAGCGAATTATATATATATATTAGTGTTAGGTTAATTTGGTTAGTTGTTTGTTTAAACTTAATTTTGAAATTATATATTTTTTGATGTAGTTTAGTTAAATTTGGTTGAAATTATATAATTTTTGACATAGTGTAGTCATTTCGAATGTAAATTTTATAAGTAATTATATTAGTTTAATTATTAAAATTGAAATAAGATAACATGCATAATGATTTGATCGTTTCTTCCACTCAACCTCCGAGTCGAGTCCTCCACATAGTATAAGGATGAGGATATGAGATTAGACGAGTAGGATGAGTGATATAATATTCAATCACTTTGTTTGTTTTATTTTTTTTTAGAACGTATTCTAGAATGATTTTGTTAATATTATTTTATTTTTCATATATACATGATTACTTATAATTGTTTATTATTAAATATTAAAAATGTCAACAAAATGACGGAATTGTGGAAAAATTGTTTTTGAAATTAGTGACAAAATAGCGACGGATTGGTGACAATTTCGTTTTTCAAAATTAGCGACGAAATAACAATGGATTAGCTACGAAAAAACGAGCGATCCTACGACAAGATTAGCGATGGATTTTTTTTGGTTTAGTGACAGATTGTCCATCACTAAAAATTTAGTGATAGATCGAGTATTCCATCATAAAAATTTAGTGATAGATCGAGTATTCCGTCATAAAAATTTAGTGACCAACAAAATAGAGATGGAATATGGTCCGTCGTTATTCCATCGTTATTCACAATTACCGACGAAATATTCCGACGCTAAACTCAATTTTTTTTGTAGTGGTTTATGAAACAAATAGTCAATAGAAAACTTCTACAAAGGGATTTTTTTAGTTTAATAAGAAATAGTAGTCAAAGGTCATTGTATGAACAGATCAAGAACTTGAGAATTTTTTTTTTGATTACAATAAAAAAGAACATGAACTTGTTCATCACTCATCAAAAAGTATAAATAAGATTATAATTAAATAATTATCAGAAAACTCTCTAAAAAATATTCTATCTAAAAACCAATCAATTTGTTTTAAATCTCTAAAATTCAAAATATTTTTTCTTATCAAAACACCAAATTGTTAAGCGATGTTAAGGTAAGCGGTTAATTATTAGGTGTTTTGGTAAGAAAAATATTATTTTAGCTTTGAAAAATTTTAAATAAATGAATAGAATTTTTAGATAGAAGATTTTTTAGTAATTATTTTTATATAATAAATTTGAATTTCAATCGGGAGCATGTGAGAGTGCTTCTAAAGATATCGATTAAGGGACTAATAAAGGTTGTAAATGGATCAGATTTTTACTTGAATTCGATGTGATTAAATAGATTTGGTAATTTGTTTTTTATTTGAGCCATATTATGATCCGAAACCATTAACTTGTTCATTAAATATATCAAATTTGGATTAACCTTAATCCGATCCGATAATAATCCAACTCAAAATTAAAAATAATATATTTTTAATGAATGTAATATTTTAAAAATACTAAAATTTTAAATATAAAAAAATATAATTACGATATTAGGTTGAAATCTAGAATTTGTTTATTATAAAGTTCAAATAATACATATTATTCCACAATAATGATTTTGTTTGTAATAACCCAAAATGTTTTTATTTTTTATTTTTATTTATGTTTATTTCTATTTTTTTTTAATTTGAAGTTTACTAAAAAAAAAGAAGAAAAAAGAAAAGAAAAAGAAAAGAAAATGATGAAAAACACAAAAAAATTCATTTAGGGACACAATCGAAGTAATTAAGGGTGTAATCGAGTCAATTAAACGAGTTTAGGCCTTAAATTGCACCTTCGGGGACCTAATTGATGAGATTGTGTTAAAATTATTTCACGAGAGAGGCGTAATTGTTGAAATTGAAACGTGAGAACCAAAGCTGGAAGTTTGGAGTGAACGACAGGGACCGAAATGGAGCGGACGACACTGTCGTTCGCTCCAAGGCAAATTCTCTCCGAAAATCTTTGAGAGAATCTGCCCAAATCCTCCATGAATTCCTTGGTTTTGATTGTGTATTAATCATGGATTTTGTTACCAAAACCAACACTAACGAGAATCAATGAGAATTTTCTATTTTGATTTCACAATTAATCATGAATTAAAAAGGAAAAATTTTGACGAAACTTCGGGGATTTAGATTCGATTTTAGAAAATTTTTTACTATAAAATGAGTCAAATTTCAAGAAAAAAAGGGAGAAATTGGGAAAAGGAATTTTGGGTTGAGAAAGGGTGAAAATTGAAAGCAAAAAACCAAATTTTTGATCTTTTAGCGAGTTGGGTTTTATGGGGTTTTACGGGTTCTTGGGTTTGAGTGTTCTTCATTGTTCTTCATTCCAGATTTCGAGTTCATACCTTTTTGGACTCGTTACTCGATTTACCTCGGTTTGGGTGCAATTACACAAGTTCTTTAACTTTAATTTCTAGGTTTGAAGCTTCGATTAACGTTTTTTTTAGTTTTTGTTTACTAATTTTTACAGGCGACACTTGAATGTTCTTGGTTACGGGTTTTGCTTTTTGGTGTTCATCCCACTTGTAAATCCCGGTCATCAATTGTGAGCTCGTTTAAGCATTTGAAAACTCATTAGGTCCTCTAGAAATCACCTCAAATTCCTAGCTCTTGTCCGAGTACATAACAATCTCCACTCGGTTAGTGTGTTCATTCTTTTTTTTTTTTTTTTTTTGTTTTCTTCTCTCTCTAGCCTTCAATTCCTCTCACTTTCAATAATTTGATCGTTGTTGTTAACATTTGGATTATTAATTCTAGTGGAGGCGAATATGTTGAACATGATGTGCTAGTCAAATGTTTTGTTTAGATCTAAAAACGAAATTTCAATTTATGCAAAATGCTTGATGAATAGAGAGAGAGAGTCAAAGAACTCGATGAACAAGAGAGAGAAGGGTTTTAATTCGAGAAACGTGGGTTTTGATCTGAAAAAAATGAAAAGAGGGAGAGTGGGATTTGTTTAGTGGGTTGGGTATTTTTTTAAAAATTACATATAAGCTTCTTGTCATTTTCTTAATTTAATTTCGTTAAAAACCTATGGTAATTCATTTACGTATGTATTACCTAATTATTAAAATTGTTATTTGCTTATTTTTTTTTAGTGTGCTTATTTTTTTCTGTGATAAAAATTGTTGTGAAGTTGAATAATGAATATATTTAAAAGTGATTGTTCCATTTTTTCCAAATTTGAAGTCAAGAATCATAACATGTGAAACCAAATTTTTATGAATTAGAGCCTATTTTAGTTTTTTAATGTTAGACATAAAAGTATAGCTCAAATTAATTGAAATAGTAGAGGTAGATAATAGAATGTTTTGCATGAGCTTTTTTTTATGACATTTAAATCTCTAAATTATATCTTTTTTTTTTTTTTGTCATTTCACTTATTGAGAAAGGGTGTAAAAACAAGTAGTTGAATACTTTTGAGATATTACAAATTTTGTATCATTACGGAATTGTAAAAAATTAGATTTAGAAAAAAGTTAAGAAATGCAATATTAGTACTTATTTAATTATGTGATGTTACTAATATTATTAAAGCGATATGTACTCGATATATTCTTGTGTAAATTGTTAAAATATATGGTAATAATAATAGATTTTCTTTCCTTTCTTTCTTTTTCGCCGACCTTGATTTGTAGCACTATCATCTTGGATTTTGAATTAACAAATATTGATTTTGCTATCACATGGATAAGAAATAAAAATTATTTTTTTAGTTATTTCTTTTAGTTTTATCATAATTCTTACCTAATTTAAGATTAAATTTTATTAAGATTAATTGATTTTTTTTTTTTTGAATTGTATGACATTTTATTTTATTTTTTTACAAAATTGATAGATGAAATATTATTTTAATATATTTTATTACACATTTAGTGGTTGAAATATATTTTATATTCAAATAATATATTAAATATAATCAACATAAATTTTCTAAAAAAAACAAGTGATAAATCCGATGACGTTTCGAATCTAACTTGAATTTGTTAGGATCCATATTTATATTTTTAAAATCTTATTCAAACTAATAAAATTTAATTCGATCCGTTTTAATAAATAAATTAAATTTAAATCTATTATGATTCGATTCAAAGGCTTCAGGCTTCGTCGGTATTCTTGGGAGTAATTGCTTAAATAAAATACCCTAAAATGCATTGTGCAAAGCCCACAATGATTTGGGCTCCTTTCATGCTTCAGCCCACATAACTGACCCTGATCCAAAAAAAAGAAAAAAAAAACTACCCCAAAACCCGGTGTGGACGCCAACGGTTAGTTTCATGTCAGAGGAGTTTCACCAATTTTGAATTCCAAAAAGAGCCCGCTCTACTCCTCTTTTTAAACTCTCTTTCTTTCTCTCTCCAAACGCAAAAAAACACAGCACACACAGAGCATCGGAAAAAAAAAAGAAAAAGGTAAGAGAGAGAGATGGCAACCAACATCGGCATGATGGATGGGGCTTATTTCGTAGGCAGATCTGAGATTCTCTCTTGGATTAACTCCACTCTTCAACTCAATCTCTCCAAAGTCGAAGAAGTAATTTCGTTGCAGATTCTCTTCTTTCTTTCTAATTTTGCCCTAAATTGTTCGGATCGGTAATTTAATTTTTTAATTTTTGTAGGGTTGTTCTGGTGCGGTGCATTGCCAGTTAATGGATTCGGTTCATCCTGGAATGGTGCAGATGCACAAGGTCAATTTCGACGCAAAAAACGAGTACGAAATGATTCAAAACTATAAGGTCCTGCAAGATGTGTTTAACAAGCTCAAGATTACGAAGGTTTGTGTTTAAATTTTTTTTTCCAGATCTTGAATGTTTTGTTCGTTTAATTTTGATTTTGATTTTTTTGTTTAGCATATAGAGGTGAGCAAGCTGGTGAAAGGCAGGCCGCTTGACAACTTGGAGTTTATGCAATGGATGAAGCGATATTGTGATTCTGTCAATGGAGGACTTATCAAGTAATTTTAATTTTTTTGGTTTATTATTTTTCTAGGTTTGCTTTTATAACTGTTTTGCTACGATTGCTTATTTTGAATTGGGGAATCACTGTTGTGTTTTTGCTTAATTGTTTTATTGCATTTCTTCTTCTTCTTCTTCTTCTTTGGTGTTTGTGTACTTGGAACTTGAATTGAGGACATCTGCTTTGCTTTGAAATTGGGAGTCATTTTTTTTTTTTTTTTTTGGAGTAGATTCTCAAATTCAGTATTTTATGAATTGTTATTCTATTTTATTTTCTGAATTGTTCTTTGGATGTGGTGCTTAGGGTTTATTGAATCAGTGAATTTACTGAGTTGACAATATTGTTTTAATTATCAAGCCGAGCTGCTATCTTGGGTGTACAAGTTTTTTTAAATTATATTTTTGTTTTGAATTTCTTTGTTGCTGACAATTTCCAGTAAAATCTCTTTAAATTGAGGACTCTCTTTGCTTTTCGAGTAATGGGAAGCTGAATGGCATAAATAAACTTTGTCAGACATTTAAAGAAAACAACGGCCATTTTCTGGAATTGATAAAATCGGGAATTTATGAACGCAATTTTTTTTTGTACCTGTTTTAATCACTGTTTCAATTCTTGTGTGAGTTCACCACAGGCAACAAAGTGAAAAGACTTGACATATTTTCTCCAGTGAAAATGTGTTTGTCTAAAATTACATGTATTGTTTTCACATGCTAAAATTTTGTCCATCTCTTCTTTTTACCTTAGTAATGTGCAAATCTTTAGTGACGGTGCAAAAGTTTTGTACCCCAGTTTTAGGTAATACACAGAACATTTTTAGTTCTTTTCTCTTGGTAGATATGAAGTTGCGTAAACGTGACTTCAGTTTCAAGATCATAAATAATAGGACACGGGTGTTATATTTTCATCTGTCAGTCTATATCTAACCTGTACAAGGTTTGAAGTGTCTGTTCTTCTCAATATGTTTGTATTAATAGTTGGATGTACAAGGAAGTGACAAGTATTTACAACTTATACAAGGTTACCTAATACAATTATTGTGATATGTACAAAAACCTCTATAGCTAACTGTGCAACGAATCAGATATAGACTGTATTATTAATAAATGCATATGTGATTTACTTATCTGCTTGTGCGTGGTTAGTTACAATCCACTGGAAAGGAGAGAAGTTTGCAAGGGAGGGAAAGAAGCAAGCAAGAAATGTACACAGTCTCAAGCTTCAAGCAAGGGCTCTACAGCTGCTCCCAAAGTTCAGTCCTCTCACAATGCTCGAAGGAATGATGTGTCCTCTGCAAACCCTTCTAATCAATCCGTGAAGGCTTCTAAACCTTCTTGCCCAGTGCCTCCATATGATGCACAGGTACATTATTTGAAGGAGTGAAACTTTCATAAAATTTACAATCTATTAATACAACATGATATGCAGATCACCGAGTTGAAGTTGTCAGTTGATAGCCTTGAGAAGGAGAGGGACTTCTACTTTGCAAAGCTGAGAGATATTGAGATTTTGTGCCAGAGCCCTGGGATTGAAAACCTACCGGTACTATTTCTATGATAATTAGATTGCATTGCTTAACTGAGTAACTAACTGTTCTCTCAAAGTTCTAATTTGTGATCCCATGTTTTTTTCCGTAGGTTGTTGCAGCGATGAAGAGAATCCTTTATTCTTCCGATAATGATTCATCAGTATTGGCAGAAGCTCAAGCCATGGTGTCACTTCACCAGAAGGAAGCGGAGTACTTGAGTCCCATTGCTGAGGTATCAGCAGAGGAAAAGGAGAATTCAGATCCTCAGAAGAGAAAGAACATTGTGAATCTTGATGTTGATTCTGTTGGCATCTCAACATTGTCGCCGAGGCAAAGGCTTTCTGATGCTACAGATGTCCATTGCAGTGGGTCACCTCTTATGACTTACTGATGTTTTTACCATAATGTTTTCTTCAAACATATGTAGCTACATCAACTATATCTACAGTCCTGTCTAATACTATATATGTAGAATCTACATATATAGCTCAGGAAGTAAAAGTAGGACAAATGATTCAAAAGCTCATGCTTGTTTTGAGAAGTTTTTGCTTGTGTTGTGACGTAAAAGAAATAGCTATCGTATCTCCTCCCCCTCCACACCACCTCCCCACCCGGGCGCCTTGAATTCTTTTCCAGTAGTTGTTTTTTGTTCTCATGTGGCAGGAACCTTGAGTCAGTTTATGGATTATGGAATGTTTCTCTTTTGAAATGATCGTTTACCTTGTTATTAAGTAAGTGGGTGTCACTGTCATCATCCCTGGGGACGGTAAAAAATTGAAACCGAAGTCAATTGTGGGTTGATTGATCATGACCGTGTTAGATAGACTTGGCATGTCCTTGAAATTGGCACTCTCTAATCTCTACTCTGGACCTGGCCTAGCCGCTGAAATTTGTTTGCTAATAGAGAATCACTGGGATTTCTTGAAAAAAATATTGAATTCTTTGGATGTGTGATATGGTAAAATGACATTTGGAGGTGTTTGCATGCTACTAGGGCCCTTTTTCTTAGCCTAACTTATCGTACCATAAAGACCAAGTAACAAATGGGCAACCATACTTGAAATAATAAAGAATTAAGAGAGATCTACCTATTTAAACATCGAGTATTGCAATTCCTACTAACATTCCATATTTTAGGCTTCAAAAGTATTGGTCGCTTTGATCGTCAACATGAATGCGCAAACAAGAAAGGTAAATTCTCATTAGCTTAATTTGGTTATGTATCTAACTGAATGACATGGATAGCTTTTGCAATTTCCATCCTAATTATCAGTCTTCCCCTTTCTTTCACGAACAACTATCATGCCAGGAGACACAGGCTACTACTAATACACGAGGTGTAGTGGAAAAAAAGGTAGAAACAGTAGATTATCAGTCATCCCCAGGAAAAGGCCAAGAGATAAGGAGGGTGGAGGTGATTCACCAGTTCAATCCCAATGACAATTCAATCACAAGTGGTGGAATCTTGGTCAGTGCTGCAGCTTCTGTAGCGTCAACCCTTGAGTCTACCAAGGATGCTATCTCTGGAAAATGACAGCAAAGAACAGAAACGATGGCATGCAGAACCGAACCTCTTCAGGGTTCTGTTTATTGTTATTCTACAACTTCCACTTCAGCACTGTTTGTGTATTGATCAATCCTCCAAAAATTTTTCTTCTGTAAGTGCTTCTTCGCGTAAACTATATGAAATCATTAATCAAGTAGTCATTGTTGTCATTTTGGTTCGTTATGTTCATTTCTATCTCTCAAGTCTGCTTGCCTATAATTCACTATGCCACATCGAAGTTTAGCATCTTTTTCTTTTTCTCTTTTCTGAACATAATCCAGCACTTTTATGCGTTTCTGATGATCCAAGCACATGTCCAGCATTTTCAGAATCTCTGACGATCCAAGCAAATGCTGGACCTGGACAAATTACAATTTGCAGAAGATATCAACTCTCCAACGTCTTCTCAATCCATTAAAATGCAGAATTCCACTCTGTCAAAATAGATAAACAATTGATCACGAAACAACTGCTAAAAAGTGGAAGAACAAAGTCTGCCTTGAAAGAATAGACTTTCTTTAATCTGACACCCAATGAAAGAATAATAAATACCCAACATTTTCCATTCCGCATTGCCAGAGTAGATTGCTAATTATTGATTTACAAATCAACTTAAACAGGAATTCGAGCTGCCTACAGGCTACAGTCCACCCAGCATGAGCAAAAAACAAATTCAATATGATAAAGAGTACATATTCTGATGTGACATACTACTAGGCAATCAATACCTGTGCAGTAATACTGTAAACTGCAAGGAATCTAAATGTAGTTGGTGCCACAGAACTGCTATAGTGTGTTACAGAATAAGTGAGGGCAGAGTGTGGCATAATGAAGAAGAAGATAATGACGTGGCAAGTTATTAGATAATAAAGGGGAAGATGATGACTGGGCAAAGAATAACAAGAAATGGTGACGTGGAGGAAGGAAGTTAGCAATGTCAGTGTAACAACTGAAGGAGGCAGTGAAGAATCATCAAGCAGCTGGCATAACAAAATCAGTTAGTCGTTAGAGAATTAGTTACAATGTAGTTAGGCTATTAAGAGGGTAGAGAGAGGAGGGAAAGAATAACTTGGATCATTTGTAAAACTTCCTCTTCTGTGATTTCTAGTCTCTCTGTATTTCTTCTGATTATCCGTCTCTATAAACATTTCTTGTATTGCATTGTTACTGCATACATTTTGCATTTACTTGAATAACATCATAATCTTTCAATTCCTCTTGTGTCTTCTCGATTGGAATTTGTTAACTGTATCAAGTGGTGGCGGAGCAAATCTTGACACTTGTAGAGATTCAGTGACTATGATGGCAAAGGGAAATAGTGATTCAAGGAAGGTTGAAGAATCGATTGAACAACTGAATCAGGTGATTTTTGATCTTTCTAAAAAGCAGGATGATATGGCTTATCAACATACTATAGAAATGGCAGAGATCAAAGAACTGATTAAAAGCCTGCATATTAATAGGAATGAACATAATGTTGATCAAGGAGTGAAATTTCAAACTCAAGGGGAAAATATGAATCAAGGAGATAATGGTTGGAACGATGAAGTTAGAAGTCTGAATCTTAATGGTAGAAATCAAGATTTCAATACTGGATATTAAGCTAATACACCTCTGTCTAGGATTGAATTTCCTATGTTTGAGGGTGAGGATTTGGAAGGGTAGATTTTTAGGTGTGAACGATTTTTCAATATTGATAAAACACCTAAAGAATCCAGAGTTAGTTTAGCTTTGATCCATTTGGAAAGGGAAGCCTTGGAATGGCATCACGTTTTTGTCAGGATGATGGGAGAACATGTCAAACTTAATTGGGAAGAGTATGTTGATGCTTTAAACACAAGATTTAGAGTGATGGTTTACAATGATCCTATGGCTGAGCTAATGAATCTGAAGCAGCAAGGGGATATACAAAGTCATCTCAAAAGATTCATATCTCTAGTGAACAAGCGGTCTTTACAAGAGGAATACATTGTTAGTTGTTCTCTAGGAAGTTTAAAACTTGAATTGCAAGTACCTATAAGAATGTTGAGACCAAAAACTCTTAAAGATGTAGTTTCCTTAGCTAAACTACAAGAAATCAATCCAAACACATTAAACACTGGACCAAAGTTCAATTATAAGTCCGTTAACCATTTCTTGGCTTTTATTAGTAGACCTTTGCACCAGGAATGGGTCACAATTATCCAAATATACCTATACCAAATTCTTTTCAAAATACATCTTCCAATACCTTAAACACACAAAAAGGACTGTCAACATTACCTCCTCAAGTTCAAAAACATAACTCCACATTCAAAACCAAGAAACTACGTACTACTAAAGAGTTGAATGAGAGAAGGTTGAGAGGGCAGTGCTACTTTTTGATGAAAAGTACTTCCCTAGTCACAAATGTAAAGGAAGACATGTATATGTGAGAAGTGAAGGAATTTGAGGAAGGAGGAGAGAACATGCAATCAATAGTGGTTGATTGTAAAGATGACAGTAAAGAGGCTTATATTGGGGAATTATATTAGATTTCAATGAGTGATGTGTTTGGTGGGAATCGGTTCAAAACTATGAAGGTTAGACGGAAGAAGAAAAGATGTGGCATGGACATTCTGGTTGATACTAGTAGCACTCACAATTTCTTAGACATCAGATTTGCCAAGCATATAAGATGTGAGATGCCTAAGATAAATCCAGTTACTGTTACAGTAGCTGGGGGAACTGAAATTTTGTGTGACTTGGCTTGTGAAGATTTTAAATGGAAAATACAGAATAATTACTTCAAAATATGACATGATACTAGACATTGAATGGCTATATGGACTGAGGGATATAATCTGAAACTTTAAGATGTTATGTATAAAGTTTTTCTGGAAAGGACTGATGGTGATATTGAAGGGCAAATCTCTTAAAAGCTCTCATTCATATGAAGAAAAGGAGGTGGAAAGAACAATTTGTCATCAAAAGCAACTAAATTGGTTCCAATTAAACCATTTATTAACTAATTATGAAGATGAAATGGAATTACTTGAGCTGAAAGTCAACGACACAATACCTGTAGAATTACGGAAGGTATTAGATGATTTCTTAGATGTGTTTGAAGAACCAAAAGGATTGCCTCCCAAAAGAGATCATGATCGTAGAATTGTTTTCAAGGCAGGATCAAAGCCAATCAGTATGAAACCTTATTGATGCCTTTTTATTCAAAAAGACGTCATAGAGAAGATGGTGTTGGAGATGTTAAAAATTGGAATTATTCATGCCAGCACTAGTCCATTTTCTTTTCCAGTGTTTTTGGTAAAAAAGAAGGATGAATCTTGGAGGATGTGTGTTGATTATAGAAGAGATTATAGAAGAGTGAATCAGCTTACCATTCGAGATTAGTTTCCTATTCTAGTTATTGAAGAACTTCATGAGGAATTGCATGGATCCGTGGTGTTTTCAAAACTAGATTTAAGAGTCGGATATTACCAAATTAGAATTTTTGAACTTGACATATACAAAGCTGCTTTCAAAACTCATAATGGTCACTATGAGTATCCTGTCATGCCATTTGGTCTTACAAATGCCCCTAGTACTTTTCAAAGTCTTATGAATCACATTTTTCAACATTTTTTTTTAATGAAAATTTGTCTTGGTTTTCTTTGATGATATCATTGTTTATAGTAAAACTTTAAAAGATCATGAAGAACATTTGAGAAAAACTCTTACTTTTATTCGATAAAATGTTTTGTTTGCAAAGCGATCCAAGTGCACTTTTGGCACTCCGAAAGTGAAATATCTTAGCCTCTTCATCTCTACTATAGGAGTTAATGATAAAAAAATTAAAGCAATTCAAGCTTGGCCTCAACCTAAGAATCTTAAACAATTACATGGATTCCTAGGATTAATAGGTTATTATAAAAGGTTTGTTCAAGGGTATGGTAAGTTGGCCAATCCATTAATTGATCTATTGAAGAAGGATGCTTTCTGCTAGAATTCTCAAGCTCGGATTGCATTTAAGTAATTGAAAAAAGCAATGGTCAACACACCCGTGTTAGCATTACCTAATATGGCTAATGAATTTATGGCTAATAAAAATAAAAATAAAAATAACATACAATTAAGTTGTTACTCTTAACCTCATTTTTTTGAAATAATAATAATAATAATATATAAAAAACAATAAAAATAAGACGAACCAAAAAAAAAAAAAATACTAAATGTTCTCTACCTGAATAAAATCACAAATACACACCAATTTTTTTTTTAATTGGAATCTTTTTAAATCGTCAAATAATATCAAAAGCTCTCAATTCAAATCTTTTTCAATTAAGCCTAAAATAAAATTTTTTAATTAAACTAATTATCCTAATCCTATGCTAATCACATAATTGATATTACAAAATATAATAATATAATCACACAATCCATAAAAATTTGAATGAAAATTAAATAGAAAAATGTTGAAGTGCATGGATATAATTTCCAAGAGGAAGAACAACGAGGAAGAGAGATAGATCCGGCTAATACGGCACATGTAAAAGGAGCTTAGTGGCTTACTCTTATGCATTGGGGCATGTTAGATGTTAGATGAGTGGCACACCTGGTGGCGTTGCCTTCGTCTTTTCCTTTTGATCATGGTGGTATGACACGTGTTTGATTTTGGTGATCTGGAGGAAGAACAATGACAGGTGGGAACCTTAGCCTCTGTTTTTCCTTATATTAGTCTCGTTGAGTTTTGTTTTTTGAATCTGCTAGGTTTTTTATTTTTCTCCCCTAGGTGGCTATCTCTTCTCCTTTGTGTGTATGTGTATACATGATATTTATAGGGGAGTATCTAGGATTGGTCTAATTTTTTTTTCTATTTTGTTTTTTTCTCTTTTATTATTAGTCAATACTAACCCAATGCTTAGTATCTACCCTACACTTGATCTAGGCCCAATTCTCTCTTTTTCTTTTTTATTGTGTTCTTTCTTTTTATTTTATTTTTATTTTTTGATTTTTTTATATTTTATGAGAGTAAAAAATAGAGTGATGACAGATACACCCTCTTTATAATGCTTACGTGTCAAAAATGTAAAAAGATAAGTCTTCGTACATCTTGAATTAGTGAGCTTGTAAAGAAGAAATATGGTTATGAAAAGAATTGATGACAAAAATAGAAAAACGAACCTTTTACATGTGATTTGATTTTAGAAATGAATCAAATATATGAATTGTCTTGAGATGATTTGATTTTTAGAAATACATGAATATACGAACTCTCTCGAGTGAAACAATTAAATTTATGATCCCTCTTGGGGAGACTTGATTAAAAAAAAGTCAATCAAATATATGAACTTTTTTGAGGGGATTTGATTTTGAAAAATAAAAGTAATGAAATATACAATCCCTTTTAAAGATATTTGATTTTGAAAATGAATCAAATACACGAACCCTTATGGGCTGAAAAAGTTCATCAAACATACTAACCTTATGGGATAAAGAAATATACGAACCCTCATGGGGTGAAAAAATTCATCAAATATATAAACCCATTGGGGTGAATGAAGTTCATCAAATATATGAACCTTTATAGGGTGAAGAAAATCCATCAAATATATGAACCATTATGGAGTGAAGAAAATGCCACAAATATATAGATCCTCTTGAGATGTTAGAGTTCTTGAAATATGACTCTTAGTTTTTGAAATATCTTATTGAGAGAAAGATTGCTCATCTTGATAGGGTGACTACACGGGCATTTTTGAAAAATTAGTCATCTAGAGAGGATGATAACTTAGGAAATTTTTGAAAACTTAGTCATCTCGATAAATAAACCACTTAGATGTTTTTGAAACTTGGTTATCTCGACGGGATG